AGCCAGGAGGTGATGAAGACAGCCAGGGGTGTTGAAGACAGCCAGGGGTGTTGAAGACAGCCAGGGATGTTGAAGACAGCCAAGGGTGTTGAAGACAGCCAAGGGTGTTGAAGACAGCCAGGGTGTTGAAGACAGCAGGATGTTGAAGACAGCCAGGGGTGTTGAAGACAGCCAGGGGTGTTGAAGACAGCAGCCAGTGGTGATGAAGACAGCCAGGGGTGCTGAAGATAGCCAGGGGTGTTGAAGACAAGCCAGGAATGTTGAGAAGACAGCCAGGGGTGTTGAAGACAGCCAGGGGTGTTGAGACAGCAGGGGTGTTGAAGACAGCCAGGAGGGCTGAAGATAGCAGGGTGTGAAGATGCCAGGGGTGTTGAAGACAGCAGGAATGTTGAAGGACAGCCAGGAGTGTTGAGACAGCCAGGGTGTTGAAGACAGCCAGGGGTGTTGAAGACAACCTGGGGTGATGAAGACAGCCAGGGGTGCTGAAGATAGCCAGGGGTGTTGAAGACAGCCAGGAATGTTGAAGACAGCCAGGGGTGTTGAAGACAACCAGGGGTGTTGAAGACAGCCAGGGGTGTTGAAGACAGCCAGGGGTGATGAAGACAGCCAGAGGTGCTGGGAAATTAGCCAGGGGTGTTGAGACAGCCAGGATGTTGAAGACAGCCATGGGTGTTGAAGACAGCAGGGGTGTTGATGAAGCTCAGGGTGTTGTAAGATCAGCAGGTGTGTTGGAGCAGCAGGGGTGTTGAAGACAGCCAGGCGGTGTTGAAGACAGCCAGGGGTGTGAAGACAGCCAGGGTGATGAAGACAGCCATGGGTGTGAAGAGCAGCCAGGGTGTTGAAGACAGCCAGAGGATCGAGAATGACAGCATGGGTGATTGAGACAGCAGGGGTGTTGAAAGACAGCCAGGAATGTTGAAGACATGCCAGGGATGTTGAGACAGCCAGGGTGCTGAAGACGCCATGGGTGTGAAGGCAGCAGGGGTGTTGAAGCAGCCAGGAGGTGTTGAAGACAGCCAGGATGTTGAGACAGCCAGGGTGTTGAAGACAGCCATGGGTGTTGAAGCAGCCAGGGGTGTTAAGACAGCCAGGGGTGTGTTGAGACAGCTAGAGGTGATGAAGACAGCCAGGGAGTGTTGAAGACAGCCAGGGGTGTTAAAGACAGCCAGAGGTGTGAAGACAGCAGGAGTGTTGAGACAGCCATGGGTAGTTGAACAGCCAGGGGTGTTAAGACAGCCAGGGATGTGTAGAGACAGCCAGAGGTGATTGAAGACAGCCAGGGTGTTGAAGACAGCCATGGGTGTTGAAGCAGCCAGGGGTGTTAAAGACCAGCAGGGTGTTGAAGACAGCCAGAGTGATTGAAGACAGCCAGGGGTGTTGAAGACAGCCAGGGGTGTTAAGGACAGCCAGGGGTGTGATGGAAGACAGCCAGAGGTGATGAAGCAGCCAGGGGTGTTGAAGACAGCCAGGGGTGTTTTTAAGACAGCCAGGGGTGTGAAAAAAGCCGAGGTGTTGAAGACAGCCAGGGTGTTGAAGACCCAGCATGGGTGTTGAAGACAGCCAGGGGTGTTGAAGAAGCCAGGGGGGTGTGAAGCAGCCAGGGTAAAAGGGGGGTTGAAGACAGCAGGGAGGTTTTAAGACAGCAGGTGGTGTTGAAGACAGCCAGGGGTGTTGAAGATGCCAGTGGTGATGAATACAGCCAGGGGTGCTGAAGATAGCCCGGGGTGTTGAAGACAGCCAGGAATGTTGAAAGACAGCCCGGGGTGGGTTTAAGACAGCCAGGGGTGTTGAAGACAGCCAGGGGTGTTGAAGGACAGCCAAGGGTGTGAAGAAGCCAGGGTGTTGAGACAGCCAGGGAATGTTGAAGACAGCCAGGGGTTAAAGTTTGAAGACAGCCAGGGGTGTTGAAGACAGCCAGGGGTGATGAAGACAGCCAGGGGTGCTGAAGAAGCCAGGGGTGTTTAAGACAGCCAGGATGGTTGAAGATAGCCAGGGGTGTTGTTTAAGACAGAAGGGGTGTTGAAGACAGCCAGGGGTGTTGAAGACAGCCAGGGGTGTGAAGAAGCCAAAGGGGTGTGAAGATAGCCCGGGGTGTTGAAGACAGCCAGGGAATGTTGAAGACAGCCAGGGGTGTTGAAGACAGCCAGGGGTGTTGAAGACAGCCCGGGGTGTTGAAAACAGCCAGGGGTGCTGAAAAATAGCCAGGGGTGCTTTAAGAAGCCGGGGGTTTTAAGACAGCCAGGGGTGTTGAAGACAGGCCAGGGTGTGAAGACAGCCAGGGGGTTGAAGACAGCCAGGGTGTTGAAGAAAAACTGGGGGGTGAAGACAGCCAGGGGTGTTTAAAAACCAGGGTTGTTGAAGACAGCCAGGATGTTTGAAGACAGCCAGGGGTGTTGAAGACAACCAGGGGTGTTGAAGACAGCCAGGGGTGTTTAAGGCAGGCCAGGGGTGATGAAGACAGCCAGGGGTGTGAAGATAGCCAGAGGTGTTGGAAGACAGCCAGGAATGTTGAAGACAGCCATGGGTGGTTTAAGGACAGCCAGGGGTGTTGGAAGACAGCCAGGGGTGTTTGAAGACAAACCCGGGGTGTTTAAGAAACCAGGGGTGTGAAGACAGCCAGGGGTGTGAAGAAGCCAGGGTGTTGAAAGACAGCCAGGATGTTGAGACAGCCAGGGGTGTTGAAGACAGCCAGGTGGTGTTGAAGACAGCCAGGGGTGTGGAAAACAGCCAGGGGTGTTGATAGCCAGGGGTGTTGAAGACAGCCAGGGGTTTTTGAAGAACAGCCAGGGGTGTTGAAGACAGCCAGGGGTGATGAAGACGCCAGGGGTGTTTTAAGATAGCCAGGGGTGTTGAAGACAGCCAGGGTGTTGAAAATAGCCAGGGGTGTTTGAAGACAGCAGGGTGTTTTAAGACAGCCAGGGGTGTTGAAAAACAGCCAGGGGTGTGAAGAAAGCCAAGGGGTGTTGGGAAACGCCAGGGGTTGAAGACAAGCAGGGGTGTCTGAAGACAGCCAGGGTGTTGAAGACAGCCCGGGGTGTGAAGAAGCCAGGGGTGTTGAAGACAGCAGGGGTGATTGAAGACAGCCAGGGGTGCTGGAAGATAGCCCAGGGGTGTTGTTGAAGACAGCAAAGGGAAAGTTGAGACAGGGCCCGGGGTGTGAGACAACCGGGGTGTTTAAAACAGCCAAAAGGGGTGTGAAGACAAGCCGGGGTGATGAAGGACAGCCAGGGGGCTGAAGGGAACCAGGGGTGTTGAAGGGCAGCCAGGATGTGGGAAATAAAAGCAGGGGTGTGAGGACAGCAGGGGTTGAAGACAGCCCGGGGTTTTGAAGCGCAGGGGTGTTGAAGGAAAGCCCGGGGGTTTGGAGACAGCCATGGGTGTGTTGAAGAAAAGCCAGGGTGTTTAAGGAGTTGTTGTTTAAACACAGGGGGTGATGAAACAGCCAGGGGTGCTGGAAGCCAGGGTGTGAAGACGCAGGAAAGAGACCCAGGGTGAAAACAGCCGGTGGGTTAAGAAGCAAAGGGTGGAAGACAAAACCAGGGGGTGAAGAAACGCAGGGTGGAAGACAAAAACCCAGGGGTGTGAAGCAGCCCGGGGGTTGAAGGGGCAACCAGGGGGTACGAAGGCAGCCCGGGGGTTGAAGACAGCCGGGGTCTATTGAAATCCCTTATGTATCTGGGGGCAGAAAAACAGTTTGGACCTCTAACACTATTGTTTTGTTTTTATAGGCCCAAAAACATGTGCCCTCAGGCTCGTTGGTTTTAAGTGAGGACATTACCTAGAGGACGGCAGGAGGAACGGCGGAAAGACGCCATGAGACGGAAAAAACCCGGCGGCGGGAACGAAAAAGCAGGAAAGGCACGAAACAGCAGGAGAACCCGCAAGGACACAGAAAAGGGAAAAAAGAAGGAGGGACGCAGGAGGCACCGGCAGGAGGGACAGAGAGGAGGCACCGCAGGGGGACAGCAGAGGGCACCTGCAGGAGGGACTTCACCAGGAGGGACGCAGGGTTGCAGTTCGTGGGAAGCTGAAAAATACAGTCCTTTGGGGCGAGGACACACTGATTCTGACAGTGGGAAAAACTTGCAGGGTTTCCTAGAGTGGTTGAAAATTCCTCTGTTTGATGGTTAAAAATAGGACCCCGATGCTTATAATCAAGAGCTTTAGTTTTTTTAATAGACTGGTAAGCCGCGGAAGGCCTGATCATTGACAAAACCCATTGCGGGTCCGGCCTGACAAACCTTAAAATAGTTATTCAGGTACAGGTCACATACAACACTTACTGTGGTGAATCACCCACCAATATAACCCAAAAAGTAAACAAGACTTTTTCCCTTTGGTCTTGTATTGACTGAGGGCTACCCAAGCCTGGGACAACCAGCTGGTACAAACACCTGGTAACAGCAGTGGACAACAGCAGTACACCTGGCAAAATCTTATATCCTGTCAGTGAAAATTTTGGTCTCTACAAAGAGACTTTTATGCATTACATTGTGCTACATAAAATCTTATTTTGGGTTTTAACCAAACTTTTATAGGTTTGGCCCGAGGTGGTTTTTAATGGCCTGAAAGACCGCCAAAAAATTACCCAGCAGGCTTTTTTTCCCTTTTATTCATAGGTGCTGACAAACTATTATCCATCATGAAGTTGACGGTAATAAAATCCAGTTGGTCCACATAGCCAGCACACAATATACAACATATTTATACAATATATATGGTATAAATCTTGGTAATAGATACCAACAAATTAATTTAGAAAAACACGTAAGGAAACACTATGATACATTTAGAAAACATTTCTGTCCTGGAACCTCGATCAGATGGCCAAAAGTTCCACCTGTGGGCCATCCAGGTAGCGTGGGTGCAGGTGGACACACATACAGTGTTGACCACCCATGACCATGTCATCACATGACTAAGACACCACTCCTTTTCCAGGTAGCGTGGGTGCAGGTGGACACACAGACAGTGCTGACCATCCATGACCATGTCATCACATGACTAAGACACCACTCCTTTTCCAGGTAGCGTGGGTGCAGGTGGACACACAGACAGTGCTGACCATCCATGATCATGTCATCACCAGGAACCCCAGGATCTCTCTGCTACACAGTGATGCTCGTACCTGGCATCTCTACCTTACTAACGTCAGGGAGAAGGACCGAGGCTGGTATATGTGTCAGCTTAACACTGACCCCATGCTCTACCATCAAGGTTACCTTGATGTTGTGGGTAAGTCCCCATGCTCTACCATCAAGGTTGTCTTGAGGTTTTGTGGGTAAGTCCCAGCCTGGCCTTGACACAGACCCCACCGCGAGGGCCTTGACCCCAGAAAACCCTTACCAGGTATTACTACCCAGGCACAATAAGGTCTGTTATCCTGGGTGTAAAGGGCACCAAGGAATACAACAAACACAGCTGAATGACTTTAAAATATATTTTCCTTCACCAAGAGCAATGTAGATATTTACAACTATGTACACTATATACAGTTGGTAAATGTATGTGTACAACACGGTTTAGACAAGGCCAAGACACAGCCTGGAGACAGAAAGGACAACCGTGCTCAACCAGCTCTAGTATGGAAATGACAAGGGCAGACAGACGGGTGGTGCCCACAACACTTCTACGATTGCCAGAACCATCTTCTCATTGGCTGAACCTGGGTACTAATTGAACGATGGGGCCCCATCATTCGACCCTTAGTACTGGTTCGCTGGTTGAGGAAGATAGCCTTTCAATGAGGGTGTGTACATGCGCCGAATAAAGGTTACGTACTCTTTGCATGCCACACCAGGTATACTCTCTCTCTCCAGGTATGTGATGGGAAACTTCCTCCATGTAATGTGACATCTTATTGATGGTGTACAATACCATCAATGTGATGAATAAGCTAATATATTCAACATTTTGGTGTCCCGTAGCTGGGGTGGTAGCGCACTCAACTCACACATTGAGGTTTGTGATTCGATCCCCGTTATGGGTGGAATATAGCACAGGGCCAGTATAGCACAGGGACAGTATAGCGCAGGGCCAGTATAGCACAGGGCCAGTATAGCACAGGGACAATATAGCGCAGGGCCAGTATAGCACAGGGACAGTATAGCACAGGGACAGTATAGCACAGGGACAGTATCGCACAGGGACAGTAAGCACAGGGACAGTATAGCACAGGACAGTATCGCACAGGGACAGTATAGCACAGGGCCAGTATAGCACAGGGCCAGTATAGCACAGGGACAGTATCGCACAGGGACAGTATAGCACAGGGACAGTATAGCACAGGGACAGTATCGCACAGGGACAGTATAGCACAGGGACAGTATAGCACAGGGACAGTATAGCACAGGGACAGTATCGCACAGGGACAGTATAGCACAGGGACAGTATAGCACAGGGACAGTATACACAGGGACAGTATGCACAGGGACAGTATAGCACAGGGACAGTAACGACAACAGGGACAGTATCGCACAGGGACAGTATAGCACAGGGACAGTATAGCACAGGGACAGTTAATCGCACAGGGACAGTATAGCACAGGGCAGTATAGCACAGGGACAGTATAGCACAGGACAGTATGCACAGGGACAGTATAGCACAGGGACAGTATAGCACAGGGACAGTATCGCACAGGGACAGTATAGCACAGGGACAGTATCGCACAGGGACAGTAAACACTATGGGACAGTATAGCACAGGGACAGTATCGCACAGGGACAGTATAGCACAGGGACAGTATAGCACAGGGACAGTATCGCACAGGGACAGTATAGCACAGGGACAGTATCGCACAGGGACAGTATAGCACAGGGACAGTATAGCACAGGGACAGTATCGCACAGGGACAGTATAGCACAGGGCCAGTATAGCACAGGGACAGTATAACACAGGGACAGTATAGCACAGGGCCAGTATAGCACAGGGACAGTATAACACAGGGACAGTATAGCACAGGGACAGTTGTTGATAATATTATAAAATAGCGACAAGTTGAAGATTGTAGATGAATGGTTCAGAGAACCGACATGTTGTTGAATTAGACACATGTGCAACTCTTGGGTATCTTTATTGAGGAAACGTTTCGCCACACAGTGGCTTCATCAGTCCATACAAAGGAGAAACTTAAAGAACAGTTCTTCAAGTTTCTCCTTTGTATGGACTGATGAAGCCACTGTGTGGCGAAACGTTTCCTCAATAAAGATACCCAAGAGTTGCACATGTGTCTAATTCAACAGGTTGAAGACGAAGACACATGTACAACAGTTGGGGATCTTTACTGGTGAAACATTTCACTTACACAGTAGACTTCTCCAGTCAAATACAGAGGCAGCAGGTGTAGTAGTGAAGATGGTGTAATCAGTCCATCAACCTTGGAGAAGTGGCATTTGAGGTAGTCAGTCCCTCAGCCCGGAGAAAATTTCAGCTCCAGATTAAGGGACTGATTACATCTTCATAGGACTACCACACCTGCTGATTCTGTATTTGACTGAGGAGGCCTATTATGTAGGCTTACACACTTTTCGTTTTTTGCTTATATTGTTTTAATTCTTACGTTTTTAAGTAACTTTAGAGTAAAATGAGAATATTATATCAGTTGACAAAGTTCTTTACCAGGCGATTTTCCTTGATGGATGTTATAATAACTGGATGCCACTGTAGCCTTCACTCCCTCACAGTGCCGCCGGATATCATTGACCTGGAGAGTTCAGGCGACCTGACCGTCAGGGAGGGGGAAGATGTGACCTTGATCTGCCGGGCCAGAGGTCACCCGACGCCACACGTCGTCTGGCGTCGGGAAGACGCACAAGACATCATCCTGGACGAAGGAAACTCAGGTAAGACACTCGCATATAGGAGAAAGATGTCTCAGACGGCGTTTCGGTCGTCTGAGACATCTTTCCAACTTGGACCGGATTATATATGTATTGTTCCAGTCGCGGTATTGAGTTATTGATCTTTATAAGTGTGGACAATTGGTCTGATTAATAATGATTTATTTTGAATGTTAGTGATTGAGACAGTTTATCTCTCATGTTATCCCGGTGGTGGGCGGCTCTGGTGACGTCCGTGGATGTGATGTCCTTGGACGACGGCTCCCGTGGATGCTGGCTTATGGTGGCGTCCCTGGATGCTGGTGGTATCCATGACTGGCGACGTCCATGGATTATGGTGTCCGTGGACGGCTGACGTGGGACGCTAACGTGACGATGGATCAAGTAGTGAAGGAGATGGCAGGAGAGACACTGGTCCTACACACAGTATCCAGGTTACAGATGGGGTCATACCTGTGTCTGGCTCACAACGGAGTGCCTCCCTCCGTCAGTAAGAGGACCCACCTCACTGTCCAGTGTAAGCGCTCACTACCCTTCGCACGGGTGGAAATCTTCACCTCTGGATCTCTCACATCCTCGTGCGTAGTCAGGAGCTTCTCAATATTGCTATCTTGCAACATTGCATAGCTCCTGATGACGCACGAGGGTGCGAGAGATCCAGAGGTGAAGATTTCCATCATCATGTGGTTTATTCTGTGATTGTATTGCATAACGCAGTTATATGGATGGAAAAGGGGTCTGCGTGAGTTACTCAAGGCTGGCAGAGGTGGAGGATCGATCCTCCGTCTAGAAATAATGTCAAGACAGAAATTGCTCTGGAAAACAACTCTCTCGACTAAGAGAGAGAGAGAGAGAGAGAGAGAGAGAGAGAGAGAGAGAGAGAGAGAGAGAGAGAGAGAGAGAGAGAGAGAGAGAGAGAGAGTGAGAATACAATTAATCACTGGCAATTACTAAGCTTTCATTAATCAAGCTTCCATCAACACTTTAAGCTTGGTAATGACATGGGAAGAGATTCTGTATCCAATGCATCTAATTACATATCTAATTACTTCTTTGTAGTTATATTTCGGCCTCAATCACAGGTCCTCTTCAGCAGATAATGTGCTGAAGTGTTTACGACACTTTAATTCCAAGAGATATATCAACACGTCATCAGGAAGTTGCAATGTTGCAGAATGTATTTGATTAGAGTTCCTCTTTTTTCTGCAACATTGAAAGCTTCTGATGATGTGTTGAATGCAACATGAGAGGCCTAGAGCTATCATTCGACTCTCCCCTCTCCCGGTTGTTTTGCATCTGTGAACGTGTGGGTGGCAGTTCCGCCCATGGTGTGGGTGCCACAGCAGCTGGAAGGTGCCCACCTGGGGCACCAGCTGGATATTGAGTGCCACGCTGAGGCCTACCCTCGGGGCATCAACTACTGGACCAGCCCAGCTGGTGATATGATTGTTCCAGGTGAGGCAACACACACGCGGGACCAGGAGCTATGGCTCGACCCCCTACAACCACAGCTAGGTGAGCATACACACACACACACACACACACCTACACACACACACGGGGCCAGGAGCTGTTACTCGACCCCTGCAACCAGGGGTTTATCCCCAATTCCATTACTCGATCCCCCACACGACACCACAACTAGGTGAGTACACACTCAGTGGCAGCATCAACGTCAAGGACATCAACATCAAGGACATCAATACCTTTAAAAACATCAACATTATTATCATCAATATCATTATAAGTATCCTAAACATTTATCATAATCAGCATTTATTAAAGACATCAACGCCATCATTATCATCAACAATGTTATCAACATCATTACTGATATCAATAATGTTATTAATAAAATTAATTTTATTTAATAATAATAATAATAATAATAATATAATAATAAATAATAAAATAACAATAATAAATAATAATAATAATAATAATAATAATAAATAATAATAATAATAATAATAATAATGATAATAATAATAATAATAAATAATATAATAATAATAATAATAATAATAATAATAATAATAATAA